GCTGAGTTTGTAGGCTTTCAGATCTGGCTTATGGACTGGGCCCACTTCTGATTTACATGTTGCCATATTGAATGACTGCACATTAAGTTGGTTATTGCCCTCTTAGTCTTTAAATAGTGACTATGCAGCATAAATGACCAATACGTGGTAGAGAAAAATGTCTAGAAAAGTTCAATTAGCTTGGAAAAAACAAGCATAAATGTTAACACAGCAATATGCAAGTGCAGCGAGCAAGAGCACGGAGCAAGCAGCAGATGCAGGATTTATGTTTTTAAGCCTAAACATCATACATCTAAGTGACAAGTGAAATAGCTGGCTGGTCCAGCCCTGCAATTAATAAAGCAGTGCTGGACTCTTTTCAGCAGCATCAGGTTTGCACTTCAGATGTTGCCTCCTTCATGCTCATAAAGGAGAAGGTTATAATGACAAACCCAAAGGGGCAGAATCTCAACGTGTGTAATGAAAATAAAGAAACAGAAATAAATCAGCAGAGTTTCAGTAATGCCAGCTGAGGATCTGGCTCAAAGCACTCATTAATCCCCCAGTAGATGAACAGACAGTCAATGTCTGCTGAGTACTGCCAAGGTTACTGGCTGCTGATTCCACCTTTAACTGCAGAACACGTCACCCTCTCGGCTCTCTTGCATGATGTGGGATCTGGCGTTCTGATCCATGGTACTAAGTTACTGTTTCCTCCCTGCTCCTGGAAAACGTGGGTACCTCCACCCCCCAGTCAGTGATGCTGCATCCTTCTGGGTGCTGTTCCCACAGACAGCAATCCCACAGCTGAGGTTACAGAGAAAACTGGAAAGGACATTCAGCTGGAGGCAATCCATCCCATGTGTTGCAGGCACATCTGAAAAAGCTATTCTGAGAGGACGAGATGGACAGAATTACTGGAGATCTTTGTGGATAACATGTGATGAAGGGAAGGGCATCAGTAGTATAACATACCCTTAAGAATAATTTATTGTAAGGGTTGATTTCATAACTAAAGCATATATTCTTCCAAAATAATGGAAGAGCCACATGCAAACAAAAGCTACAGCAGCTTCAGTGATTCATCTAACACGGGAGTTATTCATTAACAAATAGATGGAGTAGGTTTTTCCCCCATCACTTAGCCCTTCTTTCTAGGAGTCCATCTTCATTGTATTGTTAGCTTTAGGTACAACCCAATGTTATTCCACACTGACTCGTGCCATTCCTGTGGATCTTGCATGAGCTAAGTGGTGTTTTAAACTTAAACTAGCTGAGCAGTTGCAGAACTGGGCAGCAACTCAGGAGCTGCTGATGCTCACACCAGAAATGCAGTGGGGATACTGCTGCAGGCTGTGGCCCAAGTTCACACACCTCATCAGCTGTTATTTCAATCACTTTGGGTATCTCAAGTGTTTCACAGTGTGGCTGTTCTCATTTGGTCTAAGCTGGCAGACCTCTCAAATGCACAGTGACAGTGGGGCAAAACACCTTTCCCTGATCTTGGGCTGTGCTGGGAGATGGAGACTCCCCTAGTGTCACTTACTGTACAGATACACAGCATGATTCATATGGACTAATTTATCTAGGAGTTTACTCCATAATAAGGAATAGGCATATGACAAGCTCACCTAAGGTGTCTGCCTGCAGCAGGAGATAGTACTTTGCTTGGCTCTTAGGTGGCAGGAAAGCAGTTTGCACTGAACAACCAACTACTTGGGGATGAAGCTGACTAGAGGAGTAGATGCACACAGTCTGTGTAGTAACTCTCCCTTACAGTAAAGAGACTGACACATTTTTCAAGAGGAAAATTTACCCTGGATTGGTCTGATTTATTGCATGGTGTTATGTGTCCACACCCACAAACAACCCCAGTGGCTCAACTAAGTTGTGATAGCCGCCCTGGGCTCCCCTATGGGCCATCACCTCCCCCACCATGCTTGGAGGACAACCCTGTGACTGTCAATCACAGTGCCTGCACTGAAGGAATTCTTCCCTGGTTGTCTACAGGGATTTTGGACTTTAGACTTGCTGCATTTCACTGTAGCCCTTCCACACAACAGAAATGGGCTGGACTGGAGCTAAGGATTTCACTCACTGTATCTAAAGAAAAAGATTCTGCAGCACAGAGTGCTTGTGGCTCCTAGTGACAGTCTGCATATGTATATATGCATAGACACATGCACATGTACGCCCCCCCGCCAAAGCACAGGGTGTTACTGTTGTACACAGGTGCTAAAATCATAGAGTCATAAAAAATAGGGTTGGAAAGGACCTCAGGAGGTCATCTTGTCTAACCCCCTGCTCAAAGCAGAACCAGCCCCAACTGGATCATTCTAGCCAGAGCTTTGTCTAGCCAGGTTTTGAAAACCTCCAAGGATGGAGAGTCCACAATCTCTCTGGGTAACCTGTTCCAATGTTTTACTACCCTCCTAGTGAGAAAATTTTTCTTAATGTCTAACCTAAACTTCCTTTGCTGCAACTTGAGCCCATTGCTCCTTGTTGTGTCATCTGCCACCACTGAGAACAGTCCAGCTCCATCCTCTTTTGAACCCCCCTGCAGGTAGTTGAAGGCTGCTATTAAATCCCTCCTCAGTCGTCTCTTCTCTAGACTAAATAATCCCAGTTGCCTCAGCCTCTCCTTATAAGTCATGTGCCCCAGTCCCTCAACCATTTTCATTGCCCTCTGCTGAACTCTCCAATTTGTTCACATCCTTTCTGTAGTGGGGGGCTCAAAACTGGACACAGTGCTCCAGATGTGGCCTCGCCAGTGCCAAATAGAGGGTCAGAGTCACTCCCCTCGATCTCCTGGCAATGTTCTTACTAATGCAGCCCAGTATGCCCTTAGCCTTCTTGGCAACAAGGGCACAATGCTGGTTCATATTCAACATACTGTCCACTGTGACCCCCAGGTCCTTTTCTGCACAGCTGCAGTTTAGCCAGTTGGTCACCCATTAAGCTTGTCACAGAGATGGTGACTGTTCAACTGGACTATTGTACATATCTAGCCTGACTGGACCATGGTAGATACTTCCCTCATTCTTCAATATTAGAAGCTCTGTTAAGACTTCAAAGAGCATCTTCAGTTCTTGACTTCTCCAAGGGGTCCTTTATAAAGAAATAAAGGTTTTCTAACCTTTATTTAGGTGCTAAAGGTTTTCATTCCCCCTCAGTTCCACCCACAGTTACTAGCTCTAGTGACTCTTCATCATGTCACAACTCCTGAATCTATACTTCATCTATCTTGCAATTGTGCATATCAAAGTCAATTGCAATTATGCATATTAGCAGAGGTCACTGCGGGATCCCTGGTACGGCTTTACGAGCACTCGTGGTGCTCTGGTGTAGTGCCAGAGGACTGGAAAAGGGCCAATGCGGTTCCCATTTTCAAAAAAGGGAGGAAGGAGGACCCAGGAAACTATAGGCCAGTTAGTCTTACCTCCATCCTGGTCTGATCTCTTTTTGAGAGAATTATCCTGGCGCATGTCTGCGAGGGGCCAGCAGGGGAGATTATGCTTAGGGGCAACCAACATAGGTTCATTAGAGGCAGGTCCTGTCAGACCAACCTGGTGGCCTTCTATGACCAGGTCACAAAATCCTTAGAAGCAGGGGTAGCAGTGGATGTAGTCTTTCTGGACTTCAGGAAGGCCTTCGACACTGTCTCTCACCCCATTCTCATTAAAAAACTAGGGGACTGTGGCATCAACACCTACACAGTCAAATGGGTCGCTAACTGGCTGGAGGGCCGCACCCAGACAGTGGTGATGGATGGGTCATTTTCGACCTGGAGGGATGTGGGCAGTGGGGTCCCCCAGGGTTTGGTCCTCGGACCCGCGCTGTTCAACATCTTCATCAGTGACTTGGACGAGGGGGTAAAAAGCACCCTGTTCAAATTTGCTGATGACACTAAGATGTGGGGGGATGTGGGCATGCTAGAA